AAAGAAATATATATAGAAATTTAAATCATATTTCTCATATTTGGAATGTGTTTACTAATAGTAGAAAGTTCTTATGAAAAAAATTAAATAAAATTTAAGTATTGCATTTAAAAAATTAATATTCTTTTTAAATATATTTAATTTATTAAAGTTAATTTATGCTACTTTTTATATATAATTTTCAATTAAAAATATGAAATTAAAAAATAAATTAATTAATTTTTGAATTATTAAAAATTGTCTGAATTGATGTGCGACTTAATTAAAATTTATAAAATAAATTTTAAAATTAAATTAAAAGTTAAGAACTAAATTTTCTCAAACCGCTTTTTATGATCATTTGATGTTTGAAGACTTTTGCTGAGCACAAAGATTTGATATTGAGTCACCCGCAGATGAGAGAATCTAAATTAGAATTAGTATAACCAAAAATGGGTTAAATGGTTTTATATGTTCATTACAAAAAAAAAAATATATATTAATTTATTACATTTGAAATGTTTTGTTTTTATTTTTAAATTATATTTTTCTTTTTACTCGTATTTTTTTTTTTTTTTTTTTAATTTATTTCCATTTGCTTTTTTGTCGTTATTTGAATTTAAATGAATTTCTACCATAAAACTTCATAAATTGTCGATTTGTTTCGTCGTCAGTTTTGACGATGAGACGACAATATTCGTAGTTCAAATTCTAAGCTTTTAATAAAACAAAAAAAATAGTAAAACCCATAATTCTTCTATCTTCTATTTTGTATTTCTATTTCTATTTGTAGTGCTCCCAAGGGCGTCTTATTGCCACGATCCACCTAGAATTCGGTCTTTGCAATTCAGACTGTGTGTGTACCGAAATATTTCGTTCGCTTTTTAAATAAATTTTCATTATAATTTTTTATTTACGAAATTTATTCAAAGAATTTAATACTCTTTTTTTCTCTTAAATACAATACAAAGCAACATAAAGTAACAATAATAATCGATACAAATTATAACTGAATACATATATAAGAAAAGCTAATTATTATATATAAAATTTATGTACCTCATTTGTAGTTGAAACCAATGAAAACGCTTTTGATTCAAATATGAAAAAATTTATTTCACAAAAAAAATCATGAAATCCTCAAAAGTTTCTAAGCTGAAATTAAATTGTACAAAACTCAAAACCTAAATTAACAACAAAAAAAACAATACTAATTATTTTAACAAAAAATGCCAAATTTTAAATCAAATTTTAAAACATTTATTTAATTATTTACACTTCATTAGTTGTAGGTTAGCACCTTGTACCTTATAAGTACCTTAAAAAACAAATTTATTCTTTCCATAATAATTTAAAAAATTTATTAAAAATTTATTAAAATTTATTAAAATTTTGAAATTAAGCTTTGCTCGATACCAAATAGCAAAAATAGTGATGCTGTTTTACATCACAAAATGCTTTGTAACTGCATGCAAAGCGCAAATAACTAATATCTATTTTTATTTATTTTTTTTTTTTTTTTTTAATTACAAATTTAAATTAATTAATAAATGTTTGCCATTTAAAATCACTTAAACATTATTTTTTCACCTAAAAACATTTTTAATTTTTATTTTTTAATTCAAAAATTTTGACGAATACAAAGGTGCAGCTTGAGGCCGCTATCCGTCCAAATAAAACAAAAAACTATTGGCAACATTTTATTATTATATATAAATTTTAAGTTTATATATACTTATTTAATTATTTGTTATAAAATATACTCATTATTACTAAAAAAATTTACTTAGTGCCTTAGTAATTGCGTTAAACATTAGATAGACAATCTGAATTATACACGTGAAGTGAATAAAAAAAATATGTCATACGGCTTTAGTCTTTTTAAGTGACCTTTGGAATATGTGCGAAGAATCGCTGCCATTAATGTTTGCTATACTTTTATCTTATAAATACTACTAAAATCAGAAAAACATTAGGAATTTTTATTTAGTAGTATAGCATTTATAATGTCCATTTATGTTAACCGATTTACTATTTACTTAATATATGCTCTTATCAGGAACTTAGGGGTTGTACATAGGCGTCTAAGTTATTCTGTCTTAAAAAAGTTGATGGTATATTTTTCTATTCCTTTTTTATATTCCTCTTAGAAAAAATGCATTTATTATAACTATAATCATAAAAGATAGTGGTAAGCAATGAGATCAATTACACTTACCCCGGAGAGACGCTATTTAAGAGATATCTCCTTTTAAAACTCCAAATGTCATTCGATTCAAGTCAAAACATATTTAAGGATGTACTGGACATTTCCTTGCAATTGTTAAACATAGAAGATAAGCTGAGCGAAAATTTCACTCTGCAAGTAGGGTAGTTCTTTTTTGCTCTATTTTTTTTAAAAATAGTAACTAATGAAAGTACCTATGTTCAGTTAAGAAATTAATGATTAAGCTGAGTTCAGATATATTTAAATTGAAGAAAATTTTTGTTTTTGACTCGGATGACCATTTTGGATTGCGTTACGTCTTTGCTCTACCAAATGGTTCCTTCTCGACTGACCTTTTCAAATGGTTTATACCCAATTTATCTAAGCTGAACTTTTTTAATATAGGTATATTTCATAATAGACATACTTAAGGATCCTATTTTAAAATTGTTTAATTAACAATGATGCAAGTACTGATGCAAGTGTTCTCATTTTGGAACACTCCATTTATATTTTTTCGGTAGACCACAATATATCATAGAGTTACTGATAATCCTGATATTACTGATACGAAATTTTTAAAATTAATTTTTATTAAATTTAAAACAGAAAATCTCCATCTTTTGTTCAATATACTATATATACTTTTTTATCTTATAATCATGAATTTTTTGAGCATATAAAAATAAATAAAAAGTTATTAATTTTATGTTAACTATATATAAAATTTTATTAATTTTCTTGAATTTTTTAAACTTGTATTCGTCAAAATTTTGATAAATAATTTTATTATTATCATATTCGTATATATTATTTATAATAAAATTTTAATATACATACTATCTTTATAGGATTACTTATATACATTTTACTAGGATTATAAGAAAGAGTTTAATAAATTTTAAGTAAATATGCCAACCAAAAAAAATAAATAAAGTAAAAGTTTAGTAAGTGTAAAAAAAAATGGTTTCCTTTTGTTTGATAACTTAAATTTGTGCTGTGATTCACTAATAAAAATATTTAACAGTTGAAATATCCTATATAGACTTGTTTATATATATTTAATAACAATATTAACTAATGCTCATATAAGTGAAATGCTGGTTTTTGAGGAGCTAAAATTTGCATAAATTACAAATAAAATTTATTTTAACTAATTATTTTAAAATATATTTTCCTGCCAATAAATATCCTTTTAATTGCCTGCTGTGTGTGCTCTCTGAAAAAAATTAAAAAAATTAATTATAATTTATATATAATTACTTAAGTGCTTCAAATCATTGTGCCGCTTCTTAAAATGTGTCCCTTAAATTTTGTTATAAAAAAAACTAATTTTTATATAATAATTTTTTTTTTGTTTGTTTTTAAATTAAGCTTCGTTCTTAACAAGTTTCATGTTTTACACAATTTTCAAATTTTGGTTTTTATAATTTTTTATTGTGATTTTTTTTCTTGAACACAGAGTCCGCAACCAACTTCAATGACGACATCCACAACTGGTGCCGATGAAAATTTGAATCAACAGAGTTAAATATTTTGTTAAAAACAAAATTAAAAAAAGAAAAAATTTTAAGAAAAGAAATTTTTTGAATACAGAAAAAAACCAAATAATTGGATTCAGTAAATTGAAAAAAAAAAAAAAATTAAATGTATTTAAGCAAATGAAATAATATATTTCAAAATTATTATCATATAAAAACGATAATAATTAATAGTTGACAAGAATAATATCTGATAATAAAAAATATAGAGCAAAAAGTAACATATTTCATAAATGAATTTTTTATTTAATTTATTTCTTTTAGCAGAGTTTTGTTTTAATATTTTCATTATGCAAATTAAAAATACACACAATTTATCAATTTGCTATAAAAGTAGTAATTATTTTCTTTAGTTTTGTTATATATTTTTTTCTTATTAAATAATTATAAAAACATTTATACTAGTACGACTATATAATTTTATATATATTATATTTGAAATGGTTTTGTTTTTGTATTTTTGCCTTATATATATATGAGTATTTTATATGTAGTTGTAACTGAACAATTGAAATTTGTAACTGATTCAATAAAGTACACCCACAAAAATTAAAAATCAGAAAATAATTATTATACACAATTTTTTTATTAAATGATGAAAGAAATTAACTTCGAAGTTATATATATGTGAATTCTATATATTTGTGAAATGGAAACACTATTTAAAAATATTATCTATGCATTGAAGAGAGGGAGAAAAAAACAAAAAAAAAATACATATACATAATATCTTCATATAAAAATTATTATTGTAAAACCAAAAGTATCTAAATGTTTGAAAAAAAAATTTAATATAAAAATTTGATGATATTTAAAAGAAATTTGCTTAAAGAAACGTATTTACATATGATAAATATATATATATTTGAAATTAATTAAATATATAAGAGAGAATTATATAAAAAGGATATTATTCAATATATATTTCAATGTTAATTCCGTAATTAATTTTTAAATGCTTAAAATTTGGATACTTTTATTTTACAAAAACACATTACATTCATACCTACAATTTTAAAGGATAATTTGAAGGATAATCATGCAAAGTTCAACACTATATTTAAAAAAAAAAATTTTTAATTATAAATAGATTTCATGTCATAAGACAAAAAATATTAAAATAGTAATAAAATATTATTATTATTATTATTATGACAAGTTCTTCATTATAAAATTAAATGGGGAACTTAGTCTATTCACAGTTTGTTGTTATAAAAATTTTTGATTCGTTGCCACTGTTCTTCGCCAAGCGGTTCTGGAACAACCTCGTCTCCTTACTCCTTGCGGGTTCCATTCCATGGGCAATTGCGTCTGTTGGTTTTCTCAGTGTGTGACCAAGCCATCCATATTTGCGTTTCTGAATTTGCAAATTTCAAAATAAAATTCACTTACTTACTTACCGCTGTCCAATTAAGGTTGGATTCGTAGTGGCTGTTGGTTAATACCCAAACTTACGCGGGAGGAATGTTCAGTTTTGGTTCAGATTCGGCGTGGTGTTGCAAATTCACCGGCCCAAATTGTAGCAGAGGCAATAGATAGACCTCGCATTTTACCAAAATGGAAGATATGACTTAAACACATTTCTTCATTGGTACCGGCGGAATTTACTAAGGTAATTCCAATAGGTCGCTGATTGACGCTTTGTATCAATACGTTGTGTTTTGGAGCACCGTGATGTTAAGCCTACACGGCAGAAACTCCGGAACTTCATGTTCTTCTCTTCTAGTGGAGCATTGAGTCTTAAAAAAAATAAAATTTTTATTATTTTAAATATTTGTAAAGTGAAGAGTCATTCTTCCATTTTGAAACATTTCTTAATTAACATTTTTTAATAGAAATCCAAATAATTTCGGATCAAAATAATGGATTTCAATGTTACGCGTCTTTTGACGAATACAAACTATTTAAAAGCTAGTAGGGTTCGAATAGAAATTAAAAGACAACAACAAAAGTTTTAATTAATTTATTAAAATTTGGCTGACCATACAACGCTTTTTCAAGTATTGATAAGTTTTTCAGATTTTCGTCCAATTTAAAATTAACATTTTTTATTTTAAATTTCAAAGTTTAATCAAAGTTTGAAATAGAGAATGAGAAAATAGTGTTTATAGAATGAAGAAAAAATCTTTTACAATAATTTTTTAATAGAGAAGGAGAAGTAAAAATTTTTGTTAAACAATTGACGATACATATTAAATTTCGAAAGAGAAGGAGAAGAACATTTTTTTTATAATTTTTTTTTAATTGACGAAGATGTTCTTTTTCTGTATATGAATTATAAACACTTTTTTTAAATTTATTTTATTATAATTATATATTTTGAAACATCAAATTAATAAATCTGATTAATTCATTGTTAACAAAAATATATGTTTATTAAAAATTATTAAAATAAAATACACATCCTTTATTTAAATAAAAAAAAGTTCTATTTTTAAATAAATCACTTTGCTTGATTATTCTTAAATAATAAAAAAAAATTCATATATACAAACAATTAAAATAGAAATGCAAATTTTTCTTTTCAGAATTATTTGCATTTATATTAAATAAAAAATAAATGCATACATATTTAGTAAAAATTTTACACAATAAATCAAGTTTATTACTTCATTTACATCATAAGAAAAAGTAATAAAATTTAATTGTAAGAATTTGCAAAAATAATAAAATTCATTTCCTTACAAATAGCAAAAATAATTTTTTTTATTTATTTGCACTTTTACTTGGTAGAGCTTGAAAAAATATTGTAGTTTGAGTTCAAAGCAATATTTTATATCGCAAATGTAGATCAAATTGATGCAGTGATTATCACATACCACGTAATTTTGACAATGTAAATTTGGAGAAAATTTGATTAAGAGATATATGTTATATATCAATATATTTGGTTACTATTTGGAATATTAAATTATGATAAAGTAATATTAGCTAACACAGATTTATATAGAATAAAAGTTT